AGATAAACTTGAGGAGAGTGGAAGATTTATTCCCTACATTCTAGTCGCATAAAATGAAGCTATGCTCGCTCTTCTTGACAACAGGAGGAGAGCACTCTTTTGCCTCTAAGATGTCTTTAATTAGTCCTCATTAAAAAAATATGTAGAAACAATTTTTTTTACGTAGAAAATGCCGAGAAGTTAGAAAATATTCCTATGAGGGTTGGTCACAATCTATCAGATAATTTTTTCAATTTTGTCAATTTTCCAACCTAAATAATTTAATTTCTTTTTTTTTTTTTTTGTCCAGTACCTTTGCCCATTATAATAGGCTTTAGTGATATTCACTGTCTGTTTAGACTTAGATTAAATCAGGCCCTGTTAACACAGATTGCCTTCAGAAGGTTAATTTTGACAAGTCACAGGAAGTCACGGACTTGCTTCAGTAGGAGTCGGCTTCTTTTTTTCTCCTAAAATCAAACCAGTTATTTACCTGGCAGAATCAAGATGGCATTGTAACCTTCTGTTTGGGAAACTCCGGTAGAGCAGCCCTTGAGAATGCTTTTTACCTCTTCTTTTTATTCCCTTTCCTGTTGGGTTTCAACATGGTTTTTAACTTCATAATATCACGATAGATAAAACTATTTGCGAAACAAGTACTTTTCATCAAATTTATGTAAACACTGCTGGGTTCATGTTGTTACTTAATTCAATTTTGCACCACATTGCAACCGCTATCACCCATAGTTCTAGCAAATCACACACCCTAATTTCATAAAAATATTCTGTCTTGATTTCCCTTTGTAAGGCATGAGAATGGCCCCTGTAATTTTTTTGGATAGGGGGGTAATGTCTACTGAACAACAGACAAAAAGCGCCTTTAATTCTGTTCAAGTAGGCTTTTTAGGCCTGGGTAGCCCTTGCTTGCATTTTGTGATGTTAAAACATTTAATAAAGTGATCCGTGTGATTACAGAAGGCATTTTAAGAGGATTTTGCTTCATGATAGTAACAGAATGAGTCGAACTGTCTCCTAATGTTTAGTAGATAATCTCAAGCCATATTCATGAGATCCTGTCTAATACAGTAAATATACAATTATGCATTTTTTCATCCTCTTTTCCAAGCCGTGCAATCTGAGCCCTTACAAACATCAGCTCCTTCTGCTCTGAGTGCTCTTGAAAAGCGAAACAGTACCTGTACTCCTGTTTTATTAATAGAGAAACTAAACTACCTATAAAATGATTAGTGAATTGCTAGAAGAGGAGACATCCGTGCCACAAAGTGTGGAGTGGTTTGAGGTAAATGAGCTGGCATTAATGAGAAATCTCAGGATGTGCCAACAGGCCAGCCACAACAGCCTGGAGCACAGAATAGACAGATTTTCCCTCAGGAAAGATCCTGCTAAAGACGGTTTTATTCCATATGGACTGCGGATTGTCTTTTGGGCCTGGAACAATGTGGGAGTCCTATCAAAAAAATGATGGCATCTGATAGTTTCAGTGAAAACTGTAGGATGATTCTTGCACCAAAGAAGCAGGAGCAAGACCACTTGGTGTTTCCTGATTTTTAGAGTTGGACTTGCTGATGTCTAAGCAAGTCCTTTCTTCCTGGAGGTGCACAGTGGTAGAGTGAGGGGCAATGGGAATGTGTCAGAGCGCGGGAAATTCTGCCTTGACGTGATGGAAAATGCTTCCACCATGACGGTGGTTGGACACTGAAACACGGTGCCTGGTGAGGCAGTGGAGTTTCCTTCCATGGAGATGGACTGAACTTGTTCACACGCAGCCCTCAGCCAGCTCTGAGCAGGGGCTTGGACTAGAAGACCTCTCCACACCCCTTCAAGCATAAGTTATTCTGTGATTCTAGTTAACGAATCTGGGTAGTTTTTAAAAGAAAATTTAAACGAGTTCAGCTGCACATAGCTGAGGTGCACTCCATATTACAAGTTAGTGATGTTAATTTTTTTGTTGCTCTTAAATTGTATTTTCCCCTCTGAAAAATTTACGGAGTTTTAGTTTTCATGCTTGGCGTTAAAGCATTATGACTCTCTCTGATCAAAGTTGCTACATATGCTTTTATTAAAAAAGATCACACATAGTCTGAAGAATTCGGGCTTTGCACAGAGTTTTAGATTTGTATCTTCATTTTGTTTGATTTCTCAGAAACATTATCTATCTAAACTAGAAATGGCTACAATGCATAGTAGATTGAGTACAAAAATATGAACAACTTTATAATTTCCACTGCCTCTGGAAAAATTTTCAGTGCTGATTTTAGGTGGACTGACTGAGTTATAGAAATAAAGTCTGAGGAGATGGTAGTCATAATCAGCATGCCATTAGAAAAATAATGTTCAACTGTAGGCAAAAAGGAATCAGGTTGAGGAAATATCACAGAAATATATTTCTCTATTTTTTTTTCTTTTCTCATTCAACTTATAAGTATTTTAAAGAGTTATTAGTTTATGGGCAGGCTTTTTAAGAGCATAGAACTTGTGGATGCACTAGTCTGAAGTTGCGTAAACACGTACTGTGCCATATTGTCCATACAGTGTTTTCTGTAGGTCTGTGGTAAGAGGATGCAGACAACAGGTTTCACATGGATTGGCTGTGAATTTTTTCCCTCTTTAGTGACAAAACAGAAGCATGGGTTGTATTTGTAATGGGAAAATCTGCTGGCTGAGACCAAGCAGTCAGTACTTCTCCTTCTACCCTGCCCATCAAAATGCCTCTCTGGCCAGAACCTTTCTCCGGTGTGTTGAAGCATATTGCGCATAATGGTGCCAAACGTGTGGCAGGGGAGCGAAAAAGTGCACGAGAGGTTGGTAAATTTAAACTTTTGTGTGCGAAACCAGCCAGAAGCCCGAAGACGCAGGCAGTATGAGGGTGGTTGTGCATTTTCTGCTGGAATTTTGAATTGGAAATGCAGTTGGGTTGAGAAGCGGAGATGGAGGTGGCAGCACAAAGCTTGGGGCCACCCAGAGCTGGTGGGGTGAACCCAAACACACATGGTTTGCTGTTGATATACTCTGGGGTATCCAGACTGCAGTTTTTTTCTTAGCACACACTGGACTTTTCATTTCTACTGATTGTTTATGTGATAAACAGATCGTCCTACCAGGAGGCAATCAGAAGGTAGTAAACCAGTATTATTGAAACACTTAAAACAATACAGTATGACTACAAAACAAATGAAAACAGATGTGGTTGTAAAACAATTTTCATCAGTGTAGCACTTAAATCAACTTTCTTCAATGAAAGCAGTGTATATAAATATTTGTTATACTGTTGTGGCTATTAAGGACTCCACGTGAATTTTTAAAAAATTCAGATAAATAATGTTCAGTGTAATTTTTATAAGCTTCTAAACAACATGATGCCTCAGTTTACTGCATATAATTGAAACTGAAATTATTATTTACACTCTTTTGGGAGCTGAATAAGTTTTTTTGTTTGGGTTTTTTTTTGGTTTTTTTTTTTTTACAATAGCCACCTGCAGCACTGACAAACTGATAATATAAACTCACTTGTGGATTTGGGGTATTTTGATATTGTGATTAGAAAGGCATGCTCTTAAGTATATATATTTCTTCCTAAGACTTCAGTTTTCAAATAATCCTGATGTCCATATGTTTTTTAA